ATTACCAAAATAAAAACCTGATGTAGAATTTGACTGTGCCTTACAGATGTAGCAGCATATATCCAGTACTGTATTTTAAATTCCCATGCACAATGCAGTTTTCTACCACTTTGATCATAGAAAGGTTGTCAACAATTGGAGTTCTGTAAAATGTGCAGTGCAACAGAAATGAGCTTGGAAATGAATACATGAGGTTTCAAAATTTGAATTTATAAACACATTTTTCAGGATTTCCAAACAAAGGATAAACACTTGAATAGTCATTTTCTCCCTTAAGGCTGCTTGGTATGTTTATTAAAAAAATAAGAACAGCGAAATGAAGCAAAACAAAAAAAATGTAGGGCACTAAGTTGGAAACTAAAGGCTTTAATGTCAGAGTTGCTGCACATTTGAAAGATGTGGCTTGACACAATGAACTTTTGGGCGTAGGCCATGCACGCAAATGGCCGTTCCTTTACAGCTGTCAGGAGATTCTCTCCAGTGTTTACCACAGCCTGCAGCAGTCCTGTTTAATAAAGGTCCTTTCCTCTTACATGAAAGATCTGCAGAAAGGAGGCAAGAAGACTCGAGAATATACTCAGGACATCTTACTTTCCATTGATGTTAATGCACAGTGATATATATTACAAATGGATTTTATGTATATATACAAATAATACATGTAATACCTGTACTACCTATATGTTTATACACAATACGTTGTTTTCTTGTTGGGCAGCTGGGTGCTATACTACATAAAGTCGTTACTTTTTTCCTTCTAAATGAACATAAACATCATTCAAACTTTCTTCACAATGAAGGGATGTCACCTCACGCTGCTCTGTTTCCTGTGGATCAAGAGCAGTCATGCAGATAGATGCTGCAGTTCCACTGACAGGCAATAGCTTGTTAAATTGTTGCAATTTGAGGGTATGTCTGAGCCCTTAATTCTTGTCAAACTGAGGTTGCTACACCAACTTGAATCAATCAGCGTAAATCAATGTAAAGGTAGTGAACACTTTTTATAATAGGCAAATGCTCCTTTCTTCTTTCTTGGTTAGAAAGATCAATATTTTAGAAATTAAATCACATTTTATTTTACTTTTGTATCTTATTTTCAGTCCTGATTGTAAAAGATGGCACTTTGTTACCATGTTATCGTGTGAATGCTATTTCAGTGGAGTTTTGATTAGCAGTGTCTTAATGAGTAAGCCTTCTTGAGGCTAATATTGATTTGACTGTTAATAGTAATTTCCAAAGAAAACCCAGACATAAAATTCCACATTTTATCATCCTCAACTTCAGCAAGTATGTATTGTATCCATGGAAGGAATGTGAAGTGCTGCAAGTTCTGATTTCAGATGGTTAATCTACCACGGAATTATTTTTTGTCTGGCATACTGATTTCAGTAGTGGCTGTAATTGGTTGTAGTTCAAAGGAAAAAAACAAATCTAAGAAAATAAGTATGAAATAAATAATAACAGAAGTGTCTTTACATTTTGCCCAGACTCTGGTTATTTGGTATGACTGGCTGAAAATTCAACTGTTTTGTTTCTTGGCAGAATTTATAGTGATACAATTGGGATTTGTATGTTCAGTAGTAGCAGAGTTACCAAGATTTAACCGTCTTGCTTTGCAAAAACTTCGTTTGCTTTTAAGAACCATGTATTTGCACACTGACATTACAAGGTACTGTTCCTTAATTGAGGATAGAATACATAATTTGGCTTACTTCTCAAAGTTATGCAGGAGGTGGCTTGGTATTTTGGTTAATTCTTTTTTAGCATGAGAACATTTTCAGAATATGTTGAAACTAAACTTAGAACATTACAGCTTTTTCTCAAATAAAATACATTTTTGTTGTTTTTTTTAATGCATAATATGCACATGCTTTCAAGAATTGTAAAATTGTGCACCGCCTCCCTCCTTTCTTAATGTATCTTGTCCAGTTCAGTGCTTAATTACATATTTAAAGTTAGTCATTTAACAGATGTAAGTACAAGCATGAAGTACACCTCCTTGCTTTACTAAAATGAGACCATATAGTCTGTGAGCCTGAAAAGTGAGAGTTTATGAAAATGCACACATATCTGAGTAACACTGAAAGCAAAGTTCAGCAATGCCCAACGGGCCACTATTACAATAGCAATCCACTTCTGAAGTGTTGGTCTCTGCAGGGAAGATCACTATCATTATAATTAGAGCTCAAGTACAATGGACTGCTCACAGCAGCTATTCTAAGAAGTTCTTTGAAGGTGAAGATGAGTGGTAGACATTCTCAGGAATTGAAAATTGCTTTCTCAAGTCAAAAAAAAAAAAAAAAAAAAAAAGAAAAGAAAAGAAAAAAAAAATCAGCAAAATAAATCTTAAGTAGCCTAAAATGAATTTCATTTTTTGCCATCCCAATTTAATATAAAGTCATATTTCCAATTTGGATGCTGCTGATGAAACTTAAAGAAATGTGTATCATTTGCAGTTTCCCAGAACAGAATCTAATACATTATTATACTTGCAAATAGATTCATTTTGTGAGCAAAGGAAGAAAGTCAAAAGTGTAGCAGCTCTACATCCAGTGATTTGTTCTGTTCATCCTGTGAGAAAAAACAATTCTTTTTTTCTATTAACTATGAAGGTGAATTTCTAAGAAGTGATCAGTGCTTTTAGGTAGGTAGATGGAAGCATGCAGATAGATTGACATGAAAAACATTTGAAGACATTCTGCTAATTTTTTTATTTTCATGTTTTTAAATGCTTGTCCTCACTATCTGTAACTTTCTAAGGACTCAATCAGGTAGTTGTGTAAAAATGAAAATCTGATATCCATGATTTCCATACCAGACCCAGCAAACATGGCTGTGTGAAAAGTTTTCTTTCTGGAAGACTGTAATGTTGAACACCAACGAAGATCTGGAAAAGAAATCCTAGGACTTAACTCTATGAATAGCTGGAATTATAGAAAAAAAGGAGAAGGGCAGGTAATACTTTTTAAGAAGGAAAATTACCTGTAACCATGGATTGGAATTGTATTCTATATAGCTGAAATAGAAATAATAGACCTTTTGATATAATAAAGAAAATAATAAAACTTCAGTAGAAGGACAGTTTCAAAATATGTTTCTCAGTTGTGTAGAAGATTTTAGTCTCTGTATTAATAAGTTTTAGGATCTACTGCTTTTTAGTATATCAGAATGACAGTGTATCTAAGGTGGGAAAGGACACCTGGACGTCATTGGGCCCAATCCCTGCTCCAGCAGGGACACAGAGCAGGGTGCCCAGTGCCACATACAGTGCCACATGTGCTTTGAAAGGTCTCCAGGGAGATCTGCACCGCTCTGCCACTTGCACACAAGTGCTGCTGGTGTTCTCAGGGAACCTTCTGTGTGCCAGCTTGTGCCCATTGCCTCCTGTCCTGGTACTGGGCACCACTGAGGAGAGCCTGGCTGCATCTTCTTGCCACCCTCCCTTCAAATATTTATGGCAGTCCCAGCTTTCTCAGCCTCTCCTCATGGGAGAGTTGCTCCAGTCCCTTCATCATCTTGATGGCTCTTCACTGGACCCTCCAGAATTCCCTCTCAGTCCGATTTAGAATAATAAAAGGGTGCAAAAAAGATGAGGTGCAGTAGTATAAATCATTCATGTAATGCACGGGTTTCATTTTTGGTTTTTAAATTTGGATTCCGAGGAGTTGATGTTTTCCTTGGTATAAAGTCTGCAGTATTACAACTGGATGTAAGGAAGTTCGTTTTCAAAAGGTCTAGATTTTTGGCAAAATATCTGACCATGATAACAAAGTGATATAGAATGCTTAAAATGCTTTGGTGCCAGTGTCTGATGTGTGTAGAGGAAATAGCATAATTATGTGAGAAAAGCATTCCTGAGTAATACAATCCCATTGATTCCACTAAGTCAGAAAGTAAGCAAGTTCTTTCTTGCTGCTATTATAGGCAGTTAGGATAACAAACATTTGTAGTTACATACAATTTAATTAGTGATTCTAATATACTTTGGCAGACATCTATTTTCCAATTTATACATGACTGTGTGGAGTATTTCTTAGGAAATTTTGATCTTTAGGTTTTAGCAAAAGAATTTGGGGGGGAAATAGACAGTCTGACTTATTTTTACAAGTGAATACCTTTTCTTTTTTTAAGTTTACTGTTAGATAAATATTCAGATTTGTGTTCCTTTCCTCATAAGATGCTGCTGAGTGATGCGGCTTTCAGAGTGGATTGAAAAAGATGAACTATCAGGAGTAAAAAGTTGTTAAAAAAATTGACTTTAAAAAGATCATTTGCAACTTAAGAGTTTCTGTAGTTGCAGTTACATTTTCAATGATTTCGGTTGTGGTTTGTTTTTTTTTTACTTTCCATTTGAAAGTCATGTTTGTCAAAGCTTGAGTCATTGCATAAGCCTTCAACAGTACAGGTGTAAAGTCAGTCTGTTGAATGTTCTCTGAAGATATTATTTGTTTTCAAAAATTAGCACTGAATTAAAAAAAAAAAAATAGTGCTGGTGAAATCCTTGGCTTGATTCTAGAAATCTGTGACAATTTATGCAACCAAGCAAAATGGTATTTCAGCATTAGAACTCTTCTGGGCATCTCAAGCTCTCAAAAAAGATCTTTTGAATGGAAGTGCATGTAATTGTGACTCCCTCTAGTGGACAGCTTTCTCTACTATAGCCTAGGAAATAGTTAAAATCATTTTTGACATTAAAAATTGAGAGGTCTTCATTTTCATGGTTAAGATTCCATTCCCAGAGACAGTTGGAGTGCCTTTGTGTGCATCTCATATATATATATGAGATATATATATAAATATATATAAATATATATATATATAAATAATGTAGCTGCTGATTATTTATCTACATAAAGCTTATACATTAGTAGATGGAGCATTCTTTTTTTTTTTTTTTCCCTGTGCTGAGAGCCTCTTCTGCTAGCTCGAATTTCCTTCACATGGTTGTACATTTCTGACATTGCACAACTTTCCTTAATTATTATTTAATTACATTTCAGGTACCACCAAAGTAAACCTTGTGAAGATCCCATCAACTGCTTCCAGTCCTCGAGACACTGCTCTAGCAGCTGTTATATGCAGTGCACTTGCAACAGTGCTCTTGGCTCTTCTTATTCTTTGTGTTATCTATTGCAAGAGGCAGTTTATGGAGAAGAAACCAAGCTGTAAGTTTCCAGTTATCACTGTTTCTTTGTAATATTTATGCATCAGTATTTGGTTGGCAAATCTCTCTGGATATAAATAAGTAAAACCTAGGATTGTTATGTCTACAGCATTTAAGCAAATTTATCATTGAGATGAAAAAGCTAGCAGAAGCCTATACATGTGTGCAAACTCAGCGTGGATGTACTTGCTTCTTCTGAGAAAATGCTGTGCAGATGTCCAGAAATAGTTTTGCACTCATTATGCACCATGCTCTGTTAAATGGTGCAGATATATTTGGAGCATTGGAAATCTAAGCTAGGATGCCATTATGGAATTGCAATACTGATGTAGACATACCATCATGGAGGATCTGTGCATCACATGCCTTTGTGAAATACGGATTAGCGTGCTGAGTTAATGACTGTGGCCAGTGGGGATAGCAGATGTTTCATTAATGATTTTGGTTTATCTTTTTTTAAGATGAAATTTTAACCTTGACAGTAAAAGTTTTGAGAAATTCAGGCACAGCGAGTTCAAACTTCAGTTAGTGAAATTTAGTGATTCATTTGTCTTGGCCTACAGTGATACAGACTAAATGAAGTCTTTTATTAATATCAAGTTCTTTAAGATAACATAAACAAAGCAGCTGAATGTATATTTCAGATTGATATGCTTTCAATATGATATGCTTTCACCAGAATAAGAGCAAATGTCTTCCTAAGAGAGGCTGTAGTTGAACCAGCTGTTCTAGGGCTTGTTACAAAACCTGTGGTATGCATGATGTCAAACCCCATCATCATGGTGGATCTTTTGGTTGGAAAATGTATGGAAATGCTGTGTATTATGGCATTTAAGTGTTCTGTGGAGATAGAGGCTCTGAAAAGGAACAGAAGTATCATTTACTAACAAATATTTTCCTTTTATCAAAAGGGTCTCTGAGATCACAAGACATGCATTACAATGGGTCTGAACTGTCTTGTTTTGATAGACCACGGCTAAATGAATACAACCACAGAACATGCTGCCAGTGCCAGAGAAGCACATCACAGACCTGTGGTATGTTAATTCTATTTAAAAGTCACTGTAAGGAACAGCAGTTATACCAGCAACAAGAACTCATGATTAACATTTACCTCACTCTTCAGTTGCGACGTTTGGCTTTCACTACGAAGTAAACATTGTCAAACTACCCCTTGTCCCAGGTTAATTTCTCAGTAAGCACAGGATTTCTGAGCAGCTATTTGGTTATGATTTTTTTGTTTTGTTTTCATTCCAGTGACCATTCACTTAAATAAAAGCAGTAAATATCTATCTCAGTTCTTTCTGATAAAAATAGCATTGCATTTGGCTTGGAGACTTAAACTGGTATGAAGCATTTCACAGATAGTAAGAACATGATACCAGTTCTGAAGGACATTGAAAACCTGAACAATTCGAATCACTGGGATTTTGTGAAGTGCTGTCAGAACAGATGTGCTTATGATATTGACAGATACATAATTTAATTTGAACACAAGCTTAAATGCCTAGTATGCTGTCAGAATGAAGTACTTCTTCTTCTATGTACCTAATTAAAAAGCAAATTAATTTGAAGAATGGATGTTCAGATTTTCATGGCAGGCATCTGTATTATTTCAGGAGGAAGGACTTGGCTTTTATAAATAACTCTGTTTTAAAGAAATAAATTAGCCTATTATTGCAAGAAGAGATCTCTTTCCTTAATCCATATATTTTAATGTAACTGGTGAACTACCCAAAGAGTACAGAGGCCAGGTTTACACACAACTTCAATGCATTTAACACTATTAAATCAATTTTCATTCTTAGGGCCTGTTCATTTGATTCCTTCACTGTGTTGTGATGAAACCTGTAGCATGGATCACAGCAGTCACAGTTGTGCTTTGCACTCACAGACTACACTTAATGAAAGGTAATTTAATGTTATGTAAGTCTATTAAACATTAGCTATTTTGTATGCAATCAAGTCAATATTTACACAGGATACAATAGCTGTTTGGAGTGAAATACTGGATTTTTTATTTGAATTGTAGCCATATCTTCCTGTTTTGTGCAAAAATAGTGTTATGATTAAAAAATTCTTCCATTAAATAAGGAAAAAAAATATGTAGTGTTTAAGTATTACTTAATAAATTCTGACATGTTAGAAGTTGGGGGGTTGGACTCGATGATCTGTGGAGGTCCCTTCCAACCCCTACAATTCTGTGGTTCTGTGAAGTGACCCATTTCTCTCGTAAGCAGACATTCTTTCTCTTGTGTGTGGTACCGTAGAGGCTTTGGTGACCTCCCTTCCTGCTTTGTGTTAGCAAGGTGCTGTATAAACCTGTGAATCTAAGGGGATTCATTACTGTTTAAAAGCATCATGAAAATCTTCCCTTTTTTAGAAACTCTAAATGACTGTGAAACTTGAAATGTTAAGTACTTCAGAGTTTCTACCATTATTTTCTGCTAAACAGCTGAGTGTAAATACAGAACTTGTTATTGACATAGTAATGCCTTGAGCTAAAAATATAAAGCTTATGGTGTCCTGCAGAGTTTCCTAGTTACAGATTTTAACACTGGGTTTGTTTATTTCTTTAAACTCTTTAATGTTTACCATATAGGGTTTCCAGCTGTTTTCTTCCTCTGGCCAAGTTTAACTAAAAATGTAGAAGCAGCTTCTTCGTAGATTTTGTTTATGCAAGGCAGGTTGGTGACCCAAGCAGGAGATGTAAAACACCTAAATTTTCTGTAACAACTTGTTTAACTACCAGGAAGTTTGAATCACCCTTCTGTATTACCAAAGCTGACAAATTGAGAGTTGTGTACTTTTTGAGAATCCTTTTTTGGTTAAGTCTTTAAAAATAAATGACATATCTGTGTGGATACATCAAAGCTACTTGATTCCTTCCAGTAGAAGTGGAGTTTGCTCCAATTTCCTTTGCCAAAATGCCGTATTTCCTTCAATTGTGGTTCAGTGTCCTGACTTTTCACCTCAATCTACAGGAACGCTCTGTGTATTTATCTAAGCTATTCAAACACCGTGCTTTGGAAATGAGTAAAGCTGCTTAAGTTGCATTGCAGGCAATATTAATGTGTGAAAAGTTTTGGTCACACAGATTATTACTTTATATCAGAGATAGCCTGTACATTTTTGTAAACCTTGCAGACAGTTTTTGGAATAAAACGTGTGAACAAAACTTTAGTAGATCATTCACTGGGCCTTCAGTAGCCGCATGCAGGCACTGGGAGATGTCAGTGTCACCATTTTATTTGAGACAGATTGCTGAGTTTCTACTTCCGCTTTCTTCCCTGTGTTCTAAATAATTCTAACAATTAAAGATCATTGTCAGTCTTCCCAAAAATCTTTCTTACTGCAATTTGAGCTTTTTATATCCTGCCTTAACCCCCCACCATACACACACGTTGAAGAACAAATACATTTCATCACAATTTTGTTCTTTGGACTAAACATTGCAACTCTATTTCATATGTTCTGGAACCCCAAATTCACGTTGTGAAGGGCTTCAGGCAACCTTTTTACCTCTAGTAATAATCTCCAGAGCTCTCTTCATGTCCAGAGGAAGGACAGCCTGGCTTCCATTTCAAAAGAGTTTTTTGGACAAGGTGCCTCTCGAGTACTGGCTAAATATGACCCTGTTTAATCTGTCTGAAATGCCTGTAATCACTAATGACGATAATTACAATACTGATAATATTTGCTGGAATGCTTTTGAAACAGCACACCTTTTATCTTTTTGCAGGGCTTCTGATTCCATTGGAGAAATGATTCCTGCCTTCCTTGGTTCTCTTTCACACTCTGCTTGTGGAGACATTTCGGATGCTTGGCCTCTGATGCAGAACTCAGCTTGTTGTGACAGCATTTCTTTCTGTGAATCATATTCAGAACTGGCTGGAGTCGCTGCAAAATCCTGCAGTCTGGAGACTGAAAATGCAACTGCCATTGAGTCAGATAATAGCCAGGAGCTAAGTGATGTACTTACTTCAGCTAAGTCTCCTCCTGATGGAAACATTGCAAAGTCCTTTGAAACATCCAAGGATAGAACATATATGGAAGTTTCATCACTTCAGAACTCAGCTGCTGCTGAAACCGAGCCAAAGACAAAGTGTAATGGAACAGCAGATGACTCTACGGACTGATAAAGAGGTAAGAAATTCAACTACAAAGAAGGAGTGAGAATGAGTTCCCCAGGCATGCAGAGCTAGATAAAAATAGAATTGTGGAGGGTATATAGTTATGTTTCTCCAAAGGTTACACGTAGATGCTCCTGAAATAAGTGACAGCACTACAAAAGATCCAAGTTTCATGTTTGAAAATGACTGACTGAATTTGAAAGGTGTAATTACTCAGGCTGTAATGCTGAGCTAATATGAACTAGAACACAGGGGTAGGCCTGTACACCAATAATTTTTTATCAAGTTCTAATTACACTTCAGGGGGAAAATATCCATTAATAGTCTTATGACAAAACTATGAGTGCAATTATATGAGGCTAATCCTTGTTTATGTGAAAATGTCTTTGCTTATGTTAAACAAAGCATAAAGGACATGCAAGCATTCCTCTAAAAATATGCACAAGGCCTTCTGTCAGGTTCTTAAGGAAGTGGCAAGGAAACAGAAGAGAATCTCAAGCACCTTAAATGCCATCTGTATTCCCATATCATCAGTTTGTCCCTAAAATAGGAGTACAGCTTAATCTGTAAAATCTCAGTGCAAACACAAGTCTCAGGTCAAAATGAGACATGGAAATAAATGACTGCCTCTAAACATAACAGTATAAGCATCACAGGGAGTCACTGTACTTTGTGATCTTTATATCATCTTGAATTTTAGCTGTGATCTATTTTGTTTTGTTGTTGTTTGTAAATGCCTTTTTCTACTATTGGAAGTAACTTAAAGGCCACGTTGGATGGGGGCCTGGGCAGCCTGGTCTGGTATTAAATGTGGAGGTTGGAGGCCCTGCCTGTAGCAGGGGTTGGAGCTTTGTGATCCTTGAGGTCCCTTCCAACCCGGGCCATTCTGTGATTCTGTGATTGCAGGAGAGCAGCTCGAAGCTGATCTGTGAAAGGATCCCATGCATGGCATGTGTACTGGGGGTGTTATTCAACCATTCTACCTGCTGTGTGGGCTGTGGCTGGAAAGCTGCAGTAGTCAGAGGCAGGAACATTTACCACTAATATTAATAGCATTAATAATCCACCAAATTTAATTAAAAATATTTGTTACCTGTAATTATGAAAATTTCAGGTCATCTGCAGAAATAAAGGACCTTCCTTTGATCCTCTTCCATTCAGTTTGCATGTCATTTTCATATTGTTCTTAAATAAGAAGTAGAAAGTAATTAGTATTTAACAAAAATATGCATATCCTGGAAGCACTAAGTGCATAATTCTTAGGTGACAGCCATTTTCTAGGAACATATAGGAAGGAACATGGGCATGGTGATGGCTGCAAATCTTGATGCTGCTATTCCACAGTTTGCAGAGGCTACCGATGGAAAATGAATTGAGTTTTTCAGGGACTAAATATCTGTTTTAACATGATGAAAAAGTCAAAAGCTCTTTAGTGTCTTGTTGAAATATTGTGAGAGAAGGACAGTCTGTTTAGTGCAGGTGGATGGATTACAATCTTGCATAGGGCTGTGCTTTGTTATATTGCAGGACAGATGGTAACATGATATAATCAGAAGGCAATAGCACATCATTATCTTTGTGCACTTAGTTATAATAATACAGGTACAGTTTTCAGGTTTACATGACTTTCCACATTTGGCAGTGGGCTTTTTATCATTTAATTGAGTATAAAAACACATACAGATTTTTTTGAGTTTATGTAACCACTGTTCTTTCAATTTCATTTAGGAAAGCAGGCATTTCTCTCAGCACTGAAACATTATGCTTCCCTAATGCTCGTCTGCTGACTGTCATCAAATACAGCCTGGTCCTCAGTGTCACAGTTTCAAAATCAGCTGGAAAATAATGGCATCATTTCACACAATCGAAGCAGTTGCATCTGAGCCGTAAGAGCTGTAAAGTGAAACTTTAAGGAGCATCTGAGGAGAATCCTGAGAGCGGATTTATGAACATTTGCATCTCTTATTCAAAAAGAACCTTTTAGTCCCTGAGATTCTCAAGAAGTCCAATGGAGTGAGCATACAAACGTATGTCAATATATCAAGAAATACAAATGTGTGAACGTGTTTACATGGCTACCTTAAGTATGGCTGCAGCTGTGAGAAGGCCTGGGACAAGACTTTGCCAGTTACTCTGCTTGCAGATTTATGCATGTATTTGATATTGTTTTCTGATTCCAGTTTTTAACTCAGTTTCCTGGTGTTGAAGGACTTAAAAATAGAACATTTCTATTTATGTGAGGATCATCTATTGATGAACTGAAGCTTTTATTATATATTGCCTTTGTAATCAAGAAGCTAGTTTGGAGACTTACCAAATTTGCATGCGACAGATGATAGAGCTGAAGTCCCTCTCACCCAATTATTTTGCTTGTGGGAGGGAACATTGTTTTGTTCAATGTAGCAGGAGAACAGCTGTGTATTAGGTTTAGTGAAAGTCAGCTGCATAGAAAGGGATGTTATGTTGCTGGTCGTCCCACTGCTGGAACACAGCACTTGTTGTTATAACGTGTATTTTTTATGTTGAAATAAATGCAGTCAACTCACTTCAAGACAGCGAAGTCAGCAGGTGTCTCACACCACTATTCATACTATGAGAGCTATTACTAATTATGAATTATTTTCATTGCTAAAGTGATGGTCTCAAGCTTCATTATGATTTAATTCACTCATTTGGTCGACCTCCTGTTTTTTTAATTCACGTCACCCTGTCCTTCTCACTGAAGCGTTTTGTGTAAAGTCCATTTTACACATAAAAATAGATTCCTTGTTTGTAATACTTGTTTGTAATACCTCTGAATTGAATCTTTGGAGCTACACACGTGCCTAGTTCATAAATATCAACTTTCTTTCCTGTTTGTTCTTTATGACTTTCATGACTGTGGTTTGTTGTAGAGCTTCCTGTAAAGATGTGGATTCTGCAGCCATTTTTCCCTAACGTAGTTTTAACTTCTGTGAGTAATTTCTGCAGCCTCTACTGGCTCACTGAATTCAACAGGCTCCAACCTGCTGGTTGTGACCTCTAGCAATCATTCTGTAGAAATCCCCAATGTGCCTTGACAAAAGCAAAGCAATCAGCCAAACAAATGCAAATTTGCATTAAATATTACTCATCTTTCTGCACGTGGTTTGTATGGCAATGGAAATGATGAGAGAATCATGTTCCGTAACAAAAAGAGACTTCTTCTTTGAAGAACCCGGTGGGAGACAAACCCTGCACAATAGTTAGGTCGAGTATAGGCAGCCAAAATCAATGAGATTATTAATGTGAGCAAAAACTGTTGATTAACAGTTGTCAAATTCATGCCAAAGTGAAGAAACTACACAAGGGGCTTATTTTAATCAGTAACTACTCCTATTTGATCTCTTACGTAGAATAATAGTCAGTTATAGGAGTGTAATTACATAACTAAGTACTGGAAAGTGTATACTCAAATAAGAATAGTTTTGAATAAATTCTTTGAATCCTTTCACACATTTAAGAAGTGTTGAAATATAATTTTCCACTAAATGTGCGTGAAGAGATGTGTGCTTCTTTGTAAATATTTGTAAATAGAAAAAATCCAATGTGCATTTCATTACATGCAAGATATTTTTACAACGTGTGGATTTTTAACTTTTCATTGTTAAGGCTTCTTTAAAATACTGTGTTCAAAAACTTTGCCAGCATCTGTCACAGTAACCACGTTTTCCCATTGGAATTTACACTTTGTGTAATGCTTTTGTCCAGCACCTCCAGATGGAAGGACTCCTATCTTCACATGAACGAAGATGGCTTTGGAGCAAAGAGGGAGGAAAAGTGAAGAGTGCTTTTCAAATAGATGTATATTGTGTATATATTTCTTTCCTTAATTTAACCAAATTGGTCTTTTTTATATTGCCTGTGGCAAGAGATGTTGTACATGCCAACAGAAAACAAACTCTACACCACATTTTGACTGCCCACGTATCACATCCAAGGACTTACAGTGCTGTTTTAAATGATCCTTTAAAGAATGTAAATTAAAACCTTGTATAAATAGCTTTGTATTACTTCTTTTTTTTTTTACTTGTGAATAAATTGTTACTTGAACCATTCTCAGTTTGTTGATTTGTGGGTTTATTGTGCTTTTCAACATCTTTATCAATGACATAGGCAGTGGGATGAAGAGCATCCTCAGCAAGTTTACTGGTGACACCCAGCTGTGGGGTGCACTTGATACCATAGAAAGAAAGAAGCCATCGAGAGGGACCTGGACAGGCTTGCAAAGTCGGCCCGTGAGAACCTAATGAGGTTCAACAAGGCCAAGTGCAGCGTGCTGCACCTGGATGGGGGCGATCCCAGATACAGGCGTAGGCTGGGAGAAGAACTCATTGAGAGCAGCCCTGCGGAGAAGGGACTTGGGGTTCCTGGCGGATGAAAAGCTGGACGCGAGCCTGCAGCGTGCGCTTGCAGCCCAGGAGGCCAACTGTGTTCTGGGCTGCATCTCTGGGGGCATTCAAGGCCAGGCTGGATGGGGCCATGGGCAGCCGGATCTGGTGTGTGGCAGCTCAGCCCACTGCAGGGGATTGGAGCTGAGTGGTCTTTAAAGTCCAACCCGAACCATTCTGTGATTCTGCACTTCTATGATTTCAGATTAATAATAATATTGTAAACAAAGTCAGTGTTCGATTCCATTATTTTTATCACAATTCCATATTAATTTAATTTTATTAAAATCATAGTACAATTTGGTACATTTTTGCCTTGAGATGCCTGCTGTTCAATGGTAGCATCATTCTGTAGGCTTGGAGGACCGTGCAGAAGCAGTAAATTAACATCAATAGTTTAAGACACTGTACTTCCAGGCCAGCTCAAAAATTTACCTATTGAGAAAGAAATGTAAAAAAGAAAGCTGGTGGGCACCACAGATTGCCTCCTATGACTTTGAAATTAGACCAGTACTGAGAAGAAAACCAGTATTCTTGCAGTAGAGTGCTAGACAAGTTAGATAATGAAGTGAGTAGCTGTACTTGAACACTGAGTAGCTGTGATTATGAAACGCAAAGGACACAATCAGCGTGTTGCAGACACTGCAATCAGACAGGGCTGCCTTGCAGCAGAAAAAGCTTCAAACCTTGGTTGGAGGAAGAGGGATTATTGATAGCCAAACCAATTACCTGGGCTTGTTTAGGCCGTTTTAGAGAACCTTCCAGGAGGTTTATATTTTGAGGAGATTCAGGAAAATGCTACAGAAATGGGATGCCATAAAGGGGAAGTCTACACAAAGTCAAACAAGGGAAGGGTGCCATAGTTTGACTGGTGAGCAGTGGGCTCAGAAGAGTCACTGAGTCATAGAACTGTGGAAAGGCCTGGGTTGAAAACCCCTCTGCTGTGTGCAGGGCTGCTGATCACCAGACCAGGCTGCCCAGGGCCACATGCAGCCTTGAATGCCTCCAGGGATGGGGCATCCACAACCTCCTTGGGCAACCTGTTCCAGTGCATCAGCACCCTCTGTGTGAAAGAACCATGCATGTAATTTGCTACTTGATAGAAAGGAAAGGTGCCTGACTTCTTATAGTGAAGACAGAAGAAGCTGTGGCTGAATCCAGACAATGGTAGGTAATAAAAAGCCAGGTAGTTGTGTGAGACAATTTCTAGCACTATTGGTTTTTATGGAAATGACTGAGAGAAAACAATAAGGCTATTTCCCTCTATCCTCAGAAGGGCCTCATTTTTTCCAGCAAACTTAAAATTAGTTCTTTTCTGTACATTTCTATCACATTTCCTAGTCTTCTACATCCTTAATTCAGAGCTTACCCAGCAAACAGCTCCCCAGAACAGTGAGGTTTTCTTATGTGACTGCATTCCTGAGTGGTCTCCTGCTCCTCTTCTGCTGTGGCTGTCGGGGAATGACATGAATGAATATCCTTCCAGGATGCTGTTAGAAAGCCTCCTTCACTCCCTGCTCCTTACAGCCTAACTTAGCTTTTCAAATGAGTCTGTTTATGTCTTACTCACTTACAGCTGTCTGTGTGGAAAGAATACTGGAGATCTCCAGATCTCTGGGAGGAGAAACTGAATGTTTCCAAACTGGACATAAAGCACGTACCTGAAGCAGAGTAATTCAATACAGAACAGTTAGTGAAGGGCGTGAGGAGCTCTGTAGCGTGATTCATGCCACATGTGAAGATTCATATTTGCTCCAGAAAAGTTAGGGTTTTGATGTGGAAAGCTGAGTGTGAATGCATACAACATGGAGCTGTGCTGAGAGCCGCAGCTAAG